GTGACTGCGAGTGAAGAGTTGTTGTGGCCAAGTGATTCTGCCAGGTGTTCAGGAAGATTTGATTCCAATCTTGAATCGGTATATGATAGACATTCAGTCATAATGTGTTTTGTTCGTGCCGCAAGTTGTGCATATCGGGGGATCGTTTTTACTCATTAAATATCTAGGAAGTTTTGTCATCAATAGTATATATTTGCGTACATTTTAATATAATATTAAATTTTTTTTTAATTTTTTTTTATCGTGTGTTTTATACTGTATATTCGTAGTATCTATTTTATGTGTAATAATATAATGCGACGTATTATAAACATATTATTATAATATCCGCGAAAAAGTTAATCGCTTGCATATTGACCGTCAATATTTTCAGGTTTTTTTCTTTTCCCCATAAATTCAAGTTCACCTATTATTGTATATGGACCGTTTCGATGTACCATATCACTGGGGTGGTCGCCACTCCATCCACACACTCGGCCCGGTAAATATCACAGTGACCATCACTGATACTTTAAGCCGACCCGGAATTACACGCACACACACACACGCGCGCGTTTGTCGGTCCGTGTTTAATCGGCGGAAATTACTCGAATTGAACATAACTTTCGAAACCAACACGGCCTACACGCTACACCGACGGATGACGCGCAAGATGTAGACAAATATATTTCTGGAGTGCAACCCTGATATAAATTTATATGTTGTTAACATATTTTATATCATTAAATCGTATTATTTAAATACAATTTAATACGGTAATAAGTCGCACCGATCACGTCGTCAACGTCGCCGAAACGTTATTTACATCTCAAATTAAGATCCGTTAAAAGCAAAAATACCGCAATATCTCTTTGTGATCTGAGGAGAAAAAAATTTATACGACCGTCAAATTATTATTGTCAACCGTTTTTATTTTATTTTCCGCGATTCGATAACGTCGCTTTTTGTTCTCCCCTTCCGTTCAAAGCTAATCCATTTGACATACCCGTGTCATTTCGCACCGTTTCGCTAAACTATCGCACGCCTTTACCCATACAATATAATATTATTTACCTCGCTCGTATACAACGTGTTTATTACAAATAAATACATGGCGATTAGCCGAAGTGGGTATAAATAATGTATTTTTTGAACATTGAACGATTAAAAATATAAGAAAATAAGTACGTGTTTAAAATTATCTGCACAATATACGTGTTGTGATGTAATTACAGAATATTAATAATATATTATGAGTTAACACGAAACTGCAGATAAAAATTAATAGGATATTAGTTGTATATAGTTGCACAATATTTGAATTTGAGGAACCTTTTTCGAATAGATAATGAAAACTATTTAGATTTAAAAAGTTCTGTTTATATAGATTGCACCTTTTTATTTGTTGGTATTTTTGCGTAAATAAGACCCTTGAGGTGCGTTAGTGATAAATTGTATGAAACGTCTGGTTAAAATGTCGACTTTATATTATATTTGTTTCAGTTGCCGATGATAATGCTAAGTAGTTAAGAGGCTCAAATAAAATCGTCGCGTTTTATTACTCTATAATAACTGTTTCTTTTTCAACCCGCACAGTGTATGATTTGTCTTTACTGTTTACTAGTTCTTTTACCAATGCCACATCTAACACGAAAAACTAAATTTTCTTAAAAAATATATGTATACCATGGAAATTAATTGAATGTAAATAATATTTTAGATTAATTATGAATAATTATAATCTTGTAAAAAAGGATAAATAAAAAAAGGTGGACAAGTAGGTAACTATTCTGTTGTGTATATCAATGTAATGAATGTGTTAGATTTGAACTCAATGATAAATCGTAACATAAAAAAAAAACGATCCTAAGCAGAGACGACACGACTGTACGTGTTTCTAGCATAGGTACGCGTGCATGTACAAAAAAATCAAATTTAATAATTAAAAACCACTTTATCAAATATCGTAAAACTTTAAGATCAAACGATCATTTTATTATAATTCTGACCAGTGATTTTTTTTTTTGAAAAATTTAAAAATCTTGTATTAAAATTTTTAATGTTAGTTATATAAAAATATTAATTTTATTAATTTCTAAATGAAAAACAATTTGACAATTTTGGGATTTGGATGAATTTTTTCAACATTTGATTATCCTACCTATATGTATTTTTAATATTTTTTAACTGCTATTAAAGCAACTTATGAGAACCTTTGCATTAAACTTCCAAGGTTTTGTAACAAGTGAAAAAGTTCATAAAATAATCTTAAAAAATGTACTAACTGAAAATTTCTCGTTGTTATAAATAGATCAATAAGATAATATTTTGTTAATTTCACTATGTATACCCATGGAAAATATTAGTAAAAAAATTTGCCGAAAATTGCATGTGTTATATGTTAATGGTAATTAGTTCTTGAGTTCAACCAAAACATAAAATCGATTTTTTCAAAAATTGGTTTTGTGTACAAATCACATTATCCCTTCATTTTTTCTCGATTTTTTCTGACGATTCAATTTTAATTTTTCAAAAGCATCAACTAGATTCCCTTTTTTTTAGAAAAGATGCTGATATCAAAAATCAGAGCATTTTACCCCAAAAGTTGATGAAAGAAAAAAACACATMATACAATATATTCATCGTTACGATAATATAATCTTAAAAATAACTTTCATTCTTTTAATATTATAAAATAATAGATTTATTATTTCCATTGTAGACAAATTTAAAACAAATTACCTATAATTAGATAATTTTTCATCGTCGAGGTGACGTTTTATTAACTGGTCAAAAAAAAATATACAAAAATACAACCGCTCGCTTCGAAAACAAACCATTTCCGCTTTCTTCTCAATACTACAATATTATCATCTCACAAAATGTTATATTTATTAATAGTATTACAGGAATTATGCATGAATGTATCAACGATCAACATATTATATACAAATTATACCAAGTAATTTAAAGAGCAACAATGTAGGTCATATTATATTATGTTATTGCTTATAACAGAGGTTCTCAAATTTTTCAGGCCAGGCCCCCCTATTAGTTAACCCCAGACCTGAGCCCCCCCCTGATAAAAATAATTTTAATAGTCATGTTTAGAGTAAAAAAATGTTAAAAACAAACAACAAATATTGATATTAAGATTAATATTACAAATTTATTTTAAAATAAAATATATTTTTTATAAAATATTTTAATTAATAGGTCAATTTTAATGTGATGGGTAGGCTTGTTTTTTTTCATCACAAAGTTTGGTGAAACGAGGAGAGATATTTGATAAAGCTACTCTCAATTCTTTACTGACATCCAGTCTTCCACGGTACTTAGACTTCATTGATGCTAGGGCAGAAAATCCTGTTTCGCACAAATACGTAGTTGCAAATGGGACTAATATTCTCATGGCTTCTTCAAACAATATCGGGCACTCTTCTTTTACACTTACCCAGAATTTTGTTAAAGAGTTGTCTTTTTCAAATGTAGCTTTCAAAAACTCATCACATTGAAGATCGATGAGCTATTCTAGTTCTTCCAAATTCAACGAACCACTTTCCTTCAGCGGCTGAAATGGCTKTTTTACCCAAAGAAATGGTTGCAGGTGTTCATAGTAGTATTCTTAACTTAACTTTTTTAAAGTTGACAGATGATTTACAAGACATGCCGTTAGTTCTTGAGGAATTTCCTCACACTCAACTTCTTGCACCATGTTTAATAACGTTGGAAAAACATTAAAGTCCGGACAATAATGGTTTATCGATGAAACAACAAACCTTTTATAGATAATGGCTCGTGTTGATTGTTGCTGCCTGTATGTGATGTATAAATATACCGAATTGTATACAATGCAAAACGCGATTATTATTACGGACATTTCACAATTTATTTATTTTTCTACCAATGTAATTGATTTTTAAAATTGTCTTGCGCCCCCCTGGAGGGTCGCGCCCCACACTTTGAGAACCTCTGACTTATAACATTGATAACAGTATTGCCTTATGATATTAAGCGATAGCTATAGATGTTTCCTATATAGATCTCGTGTAGTCAAATATGTCAATAATTTGAAATGTTTGGATTCAAAGGTGTAAACATGATGGTTGATGTGGAGGATAGATCTGTTCGTGACTTATTTTTCAACTACCTAACCTACCCATCTGATTATTATTGTTGTATTGATAGTGAATATAAATTCACAAAACATATCTGATTTAATATAATATATAATATAAAGTAAAATTTATTACACTAGTAAAACATTAGAAAAACGTATTTACGACACCAAAACCAAAACAACGTCTAGGTATAATGTAAAAATCAATGTTGCAAAGTAGGATATACGAAAAGCAATATTTTCAAGGCTAGAAACTTTACTAAATACTGGAATAGATTCCATTAAACTTAGCAACCCATAATATATTTCCTGACAAATAGCAATTATTAAAAACATTTTACAAAATCCCTGTGTCAATGGATACACCTGAGTAAATATTTTCTTGACTTGAAAGGTTTAAAAAAAATTAAGAAATACCTCGGGTGAAAAGTAAGAATCTGTTGTTTTATTTAATAATTGGCAAAACGCAAAAGCTTACTAGATAATTTTAATTTTAAACTATATTATKTTAAAAACCTATCTCAGATAATTGACCATAATAATAGTGAATAAATAATATTAATGACTTCAAAAAGATATCAGATGATAATTCGATGAATTCGATAATTATATATTAGGTACTAATTTTCATCTATTTTTTCAGTTTTGTTTAAAGTAAAAGTGGTTCTATTTGTCAAATTATTGTATTATTAAATGCTTATTTTGTGACTAAACAATTTGATTCTGTTACGATATGAGTAATGACATAGTTATGAATAATACACTAATACACTGATATGCAATCGATTCATTTCTGTAAAATATAATTGATTAATAATTTCATAATCGTCTCTTATTTCCACGAGGAAACATGTCACTTTATTGGTTTAGGTTTATTTTTGAAACAATACACTCTGCACAACTATTATACATATTTTATACAGGTAATTCGACGTTAAGACGTTCATAATCCATTATTAATCTTAGTAATTATATTGATTGCAATATATACCAGAATGTGATTATTTAGACTTAGACTAATATATAGCCTCTATGACGTACTATTTTATATAACAGCTATACACTAGATAGCGTTTACCCATAAATTTTAACATTATTTTACACACATCGAGAGCAATGCGGTTTGCTTTTAATACCTGCAGATTTTATAAGGATGCCATACGCCCATGCCCAATAATCTAAGTATTTGCATTTTTATGTGACGGCCCATAATCGAACACTAGCTAGTTATATTATGAACAAGAAGCGTTTGTGCGTCATTAATCCTCCTATACACTGCAAATAAAAAAATACCTATACTAGTTTGCAAATTGCGTATCATATATAGGTAGATACGTAATAATTTGTAATTTTGTAATTTTGTTGTTAATGGTGTAAATAATGACTGATCTAATCAGATTTAGGTAGGTACCTAACGACATTTTATTATATATTTTTTTTTAAATAATAGTTGTACTCAAACGACCAGTTAAAAAAGTTAATTTGCAACAATTGCGATGCGCAACCTATCCTACACCCCAAAAAAGAGAAAAGTGGTCAAAATTCCGCCCCAAGTAACGCCACAGACTATTATTCTTTATGAATATGTCATATAATGTATTATTATTCATATAAAAGCGAATGATTTCTGTTTAGTATATTAAGACTTAATTTGTATACATTATTATTATAATTATCGTACCTTTGTTAACTACACAAATATACTTAAGTTCTTACGTCTTACTACCTAATACCATGTAAGTACGAACGATAATCTAATTGTTTGATACCTACACTATTATCAATATAATAGAATAAAATATAGGTATTATTTTATAAATATATGCAAGGTGAATTTTTAAGCATGCTTCTACCCACTTTATTTTAATCCTTAATTTATACATATATTCGAATTCGATTTTTGGAATTTTTAAATAAATTTGAAGACCATATTTTTGAATCCTTGAGATTTTTTGTACCACTTAAGGATGATCCTGTGACAATACAAATTACTTTTTTTAGAATAGAATTTTCCTTTTTTCATTTTTAATTATCAAGCAGATAATTTTTTTTTTTTTTTGAGAATTTTGATGTATCTAAATAGTAGTTTTTGAGTTACATAACTTGTGCACGAAGGATAATATATCTTAATAATAATGGGTTAAGGAGATAGAACAGACGATTTGAAAAGTAATTATACTATTGATTTATCAATAAAAAATTGTTCGCAAAATGATCTAAGCATAACAAACACTATATATCTAATACATATTACAGTTATTATTTTTATAAATCCATTTTTATGGATTACTATTCTTATAAGTTATAATATAAACATTTTAATAATTCAGAAACTACTCATTAGATTTTTGATTTAGGTACATCAAATTTTTCAAGAAAATCAACCGATAAATGATTTGCAATTAAAATCCTCAATTAAAAAATAGAAATTAGTATCACCCCAAGACACTCCTTTAATAGTACAAACGATATCAGAAATTTGAAAATATGATCTTTAGGTATATTAAATATTCTATTAAATAGAAAAATGGGTGCGAGAACGCCTAAAAATCACTGTAGTCTGTACACAGGTGATATTTAGTATAATATCTATATATCTACATCTATATTTTTATCTACGATAAGTATTTTCATAAGCTTACATAAAAATAAATATTTTTTCTTACTAAAATAATGTACGTAGAAAACATCTGATATACGCCAACCACATTTTACTTCATATTCTACAATAGAAAAAAATTTTCAAATGCCATATTTTGTTTTTCTCGATCGTCTACTGTCTTACTAAAATACAAAACTTCCAATTCAACAGCTACATCATAATATAATATGTTATATTAAAGTCACACTGTACAACCTAATTTAAGTTAACTTATCTTTTTTAATTTTTTTATGAATAGTCAAAGAAAAATAACGTGACTTAATACTGTTCTATTATCCTAGAAAAAAAACAAAATGAAAAAAAAAGATGGATTTATAAGTAAAAATGATTACTTAGTAAACTTATAAGCACTTACCTGCTCACATGAATTTTATGAACAGTAATTTTCAGTGGATACTATATATATAGGTGGTACTGTGCAGGTATAGCAATATGAACGTCCATAAATTATTATAATATAATAGGTAATTATTATAGTATTTTAGTTATACATATTAGGGATTTATAGGGCCACTATAGGTATCGTGTCTACGGTGTTCGACGGTCAATAGCGAGTTACCGACGACGGTAGAAGGCTTCGATTATTTCGTATTCGCTGGTCAACCGTCGTCGGACCTAATTTAGTAACGTTTCTTAAACTAAATATCACCTACTGTATTATAATACGATATCTGACCAATACGTGTTTCGATACGTCCATTTGCTGCTGTATCATTATTATTTATGACATTTCACTACCCTGCCGTCACATATATATAGGTACCTAAGAACTACACTTTATATTCTACTCTGTATATTTTATATTATATATGTAATGTGTTGTGTGAGAGAGGTAGAGAGACTCGTGTGTGTGTGCAGGCAGTGGCATAATTTATATTGTGAGTATGTGTGTGTGTGTGTGTCTATGGCACACATACAATGTATATAACCTTTAACGACGGTGGTCAACGCAAACACTTGTAAATATTTAGACGTCATTTGCTCCGTAAGCCCTCCGCCGCGGCGGCCGCGCTAGAACGGTCTCGAAAAATGTAAATTTCTGTCGGCCAACACGCCCGCCACGTACATTATATACGAAACGCTAAGAATATATATATATGAGCGCGTATAGCGCACAGGAGGATGATGAGGTGGAAGAGTTTGAATAGGTTATGGAGGTAAACGGCAGTGGCGGTATCGTGAAGGCGGAAAAGCGGTGGTCGGGGTGTGCTACCCGTATTATAATAAAGCGAATATAATATAATACATAGCGAGCATAATCTATATAGTATACTTACCTAACCTATAGTGCCTACAGCATGTAACTAGAAATGCAAACACAATTTGGGTTTGTAGTCGTGGTTTATGGATCATCAGTCGATTGATAATTATTTTATAATACTGCGATGATAATATATTAATAGTTACGAATATTATTATATAATCATGCGATGGCTGTAGATTCAAAATTAATTTATCATAATATGCTGATACAGTTTATATAGTGATATTAAAAAAAAAAATTTTATATGCATTTTCCACGATTTACCGATTTTTAATCGCTGCGTGTCCACTAAAAATCAAAGGTTTTCCAATGTTCATTACATTATGGTGTAAATAAAATTATTTTAAAAATTAAAGGATTTATCTACAAATCGTTTTCTATAGGCAAACACAATGCGTATATGTCGCACATACTATACACACGCTTGCGATTAATAATACACAGAGTATCTTACAAAAGTATAATTTACATAATAATATGTCACACTATCTAAGTTTATTTCTATTTGTTTATAACAAACCTTGAACGAATGCGTGTCAACAAAAATTATTTAATATAATAATGCTAATATATACCGCTTATCAGGCCCCTGGTATAATAATGGTGTGAATTTCCAATGAAGTCTTTCTACTAATTCTTATAATACCTACCTATTGTTCCTAATTAATTCTTTTGTATTTTTTGTTTTTGTTTTATTTCTTGATGTTAAATTAAAATAGTCTCATTTGTTAGTATTATTAAAGTAATTGTTTACCGTACTTACTTTTTTTTAAATGTACTTTTAATAAATAAAAATAAATATTAATAATAAACCTTGTTGGACGCTACTCGATGTGTAACCAGTAATTTTCAGTTTATCCAAACTTATATAGCTAACAATCGGTGGCAATTTCGCCCTCAGTCGGTTTGAAATAAGTGTACTGTAATACCTAATAAAATACGGTTAAGGGAGGAACGGCAGTGTGGAAGCCGCGAAGGGTTATAAGAATCACTTCCCATCCCTTATTATATACCGGCAACGACTACAACGTATTAAAAGGGTCTATCTTGGGTTCAAAATCCACGACCCTATCACCGAGATGGAGCGAGAAGTGTAGGATGGACGTGGGAGAAGGGTGACTTCACACACTTATTCCTTGTAAAATCAACCTATTTAACCATATAATACGTATATATAATATATATATATATATTATTATTATAGATTATAGGAAAATCAAAATCGCACATGTCGTATACAAAACATGTTATTTCTAATCAATCTTTATTATTTTTTGTTTTTATTTACAAACTTATTGCTCGTTAAAACATTATATAATAATTTTGCTAATTATTAATAATATATAATAATATATAATTATAATTGTTATTGTTATACTTATAATTATATAAATTTGTTTGTTGATACCAAGTAGTAGTAGTAGTAGTAGTAATAGTCTTCCACAATATCTACGAGGTACTTTTTTGTACTATCGATATTTGTTTTAAAATAAATCAAAAAAAAAAAGAAAAAAAATGATAATAATAATAAACACTTGGCGTAATAACACATAATACTATGGACAATTAATACAATTAGGTTTGGAGAATAGTAACAGAATTTTGTGTATATGTGAAAAAACTTAAAAAATTCGCACCGAGGACAAGGGCGATAAAAAATAATAATTAACGCGTACATCTTACCGCTCTAAACAAAAAAAAAGATCTACTTAAACACAAAATAATATTATAATGGAGCACAAAATTAAAATATCAGTTTATATATCCAATATAATATTATCATACATTTATAATATTATATAGTTAATAGCAGGTACGAAACAAACGAATGTTATAAGTAATATAATAATAATAATTCTAGAGCGTCGTCGTGTGATATGTAACATGTGGGGGATATGTTTTAACTAATGCAATATTGGTACCCAAATCAAATGAAAATAAAATATTTAACAAATGAAAAAAAAAATGTATAAAATAATAATAATACATATATTATATTAGGAATATTATAATATTTAATGTAAGAGATTGAGCCATCAACAAACGACGCAACAATAGGGCAGGGAATTTTTTTGAGGGGGTGGGGGGTATGGTTTAGGGTAGGATTACATTTGGTTTTTTGGTGCGGGTTGCAAAATATATTAATTAAAAAATTCTTAACAATATTGTAATGCCCCTGGATTTAGGATTATTATTATTGTTATGTACAACATAAATTATAATATGCAAAGTCAATCTCGAAAAGTGTTTTCAGTAATTATCACGGTACCGGAATGCCGGACCGGTCAGTTTCGGAAACATCGACACGATTTTTATCGGACGAAAAAATGACCGAAATAGTAAATCGATACAAGTATATAATAGTATACAGTACCTACATAGTCAAACGTTCTCGGACGTGTCACACGGCGGTAATATTTCCGCAGTGGTTTGCGTGACACACTTGTGTAACATCACAATAATGTTGTCACGGCCGAAATTAAAAATGAATAAAAAAAAAWAATAATAATAATAATACAATTTACAATGACGGTGCCGTCGCGTCGTCTACTCCCGCGACATTATATTTTTATCTCGTAAAAAGTTATCGCGTTTACGAGGTAAACGTACAAAAAAAAAAAAMCGCGCGACTTACTATGATCGCATTCATCAATACGTGTTTTGAATGTCTTACGATTGAAGTTCGCCAGTGAGCTGCTGCCGATGTGTGCCACCGTGGTCGTGCCAGCGACTAGTGTCGGCCATCGCCTTCTTCTTCTTTTTCGACTTCTCCACATTGTCGTCGTGCGTCTTCTCGTGGTGCCGCTTGTGGTCCAGCCGCACGAACTTCTTCTCGCACTGCACGCACTGGTACGGTTTTTCGGCCGAGTGGCTGGACATGAAGTGCCGGTCCAGATCGTTTTTGAAGTTGAAGCTCTTGGTGCACACCGTGCACGGGAACGCCTTGTTGCTGTCGTTGTGCCGGAGCTCGTGCACCTGCAGCAGCTTTTGCTCGCCAAACCGCTTGCCGCACACGCCGCACCGGTACGGCTTCTCGCCGCTATGGAACCTCTGGTCGTGCTGCGTCTTGTAACACTTGTCCGTGAAGTCCTTGTTGCAAATGTCGCACGTTACGCGGGTGGCTTTCCGGAACTTTTTGGCCAGCGCCGAGTGCGACGACGACAGTTCCGTGCAGTTAAAGTTCGGCGGCKAACCGGTGTCCAGGTCGATGTCGCTGTCGCTGACCATCGTGTCATCGTCGGTGGCGGTCTGATGTAGCGGCAGAGGCAGCGATGGCGGCGGCGATGACGGCGATATGGGCGCCACCACCAACAGGCCTTGATACTGCGGGCGATGATTGTGCAGCTGCTGGTGTTGGACGTGTTGATGATGATGATGATGATGATCAATGCTCGAGTCCGGGCTGGCCATCGGAGTGTCGTCAACGTTGTTGTACTCGACCAGTTCGGATGGTTCCTGTTTGATGTTGCGTTGCTGCAGCACATGCAACTGGCGCTGATGGGTTTGTTGCTGCGGTTGTTGGTATACCGACGGCTGCATGGTCGTGGACGACGGTTGTTGATACTCGATGATTCGCTGATGGCGGTGTTGGTGGTGCTGCTGACTTTGATGCGACGGCGGCAACTGGTGCTGATGCGGATTGCGAACGACCACGTTGTTGACATGGTGGTACGGCWGCTCCTGCAGCTGGCGATGGTACAGATGGCCACCACGGCCGTTACTGTCGGGCATAGTGGTGTACAAATCCGTGTTGGTAGTTTGTTGGATCATAGAAACCTGGGTGGTGTATGGCTGGATGGTATCCGTGATCGGGTGGTGCAGGTATGCCGAAAGCGCTTGTTGACCCGCTGTCGACTGCCGGTGGCCGTGGTACGACGTGGCCTGGCGGCGGTCCGTATGGTGGACCGCCGTTAGGTCCGCCCGGTATTTGTTGCTGTTGTTGTTGGGGTAAGAAGAAATTTGCATCTCGTCCGTGAAACCGGCCGTACTGCTGTTGTTGCTGTTGCTGCTGCTGCTGCTGTTGCTGACCGGCCGACGGGCCGGTAGGAATTGGGTTCCCCCCAAACTGTCCGAGAGGCTTGCTGTCAGGTTTGGGGGAGTCAGCTCTAAAAAAGAATCGGTGTTGAACGATGACGTAGACGTGACGGGGCGGAAGTCGGCTGGCATCATCATGGACGACTGTTGCTTGTGCAACGACGGGCCGTTCTGCTGCTGCTGCTTGAGCTTCTGTTGCGCTACGTATGCCGGGTCCCGGTACGGATGATAGTGATGTTTCATGGGCAAAAGCGCGGGATCTGGTTTGCCACTCTGCTTGACCGCGTTCTTGTGCAACTGAGTGCCATAGTGCCGTTTAAGGTGACCAGAACTGGTGAACCATTTATCGCAAGCCGGACACTCGTAAGTCTTGGCGCGCCTCGCCTCATTCGACTTCCACGACCCGTTCCCCTTGGTACCGGACCCAGACCCTCCGCCGCTTCCGCTTCCGCCTCCGCCGGGCTGTTGGTTCGAATCGACCGCRTACCCGCCACCGTCAAAGTTGGCCTGGTACTGTTGCTGTTGTTGCATGTCCGACGGCGGTGACCCGCCCATCATCGTCGGCGGTGTGGTGGTTGTGGTCGACACGTTGTTGTAATCGGGAGACAGGTGCTCGCCGGACAGCGTGTTCTGCTGCGGCTGAAAGTAGCCGGGCCACTCAACCGCCGGCGGCGGTGGAGGCGGTTGCGGCGGTCTGTCGTAACCGGGTGGCACGACGACGCCCACGCCACCGTGCTGCAAAAACCCTTTGTTCGTGTCCTGTTGCTGYTGCTGCTGCTGTTGTTGTTGCTGCTGTTGTGACATGACTTGTTGCGAGTCCAAGTCCAGTATTTCGGTCTCCACTTTGGGCGACACCTGCTGTTCCTTCGCCGCGCACATGCCGCACATCTTCTTGCCAAAATGATGGCCACTGCCGATCACCGATAGTTCTATGTAGCACCGGTCACACCGTTCAACGGGMATGGCGTGAGTGACGCCGGCCGAGTCATAATAGAAGCCCCCCAACCGGTCAGGGAACATGGTGTTCTTGTACGATGGCATGGTGCTGACTGGTGGTATAGCGCCGGGAAGCTGGAACGAGTGCGGTCCCGTCGCCATCGAGTGGTACAACGGGAACTCGGACGCGTTGCTTATCTGCATCTCCATGACTACGTGCGCTGAAAACGAGAAAAAACACACGAAAACGCGTTAGTTATGATTGTTGCACATAGCCAAATATTATCGGACACACGGGTTGGTGGGTGAATGGGTCACAGATCGGTGATATCTCCGTACGAGATGTTTTACGAACATAAGCGAAATATCTATAATTCTTAGATCGTTGTGGTGTCTTTACGTGTCCGAAAATATGATATTTAAATTCTTAATCGGCGGAGTGAAAGCATACACCCCGCCGAACGTCCTTTTGGATGCAAACTATACACCGACTGCGTAATAAATATAAATAATAATATATATTTATGTACATATAAACGGTATAATGTATACAAAGTCGCGACCCCTCGTCGCGGGCGCCGCCCACCCGCTGTGACAAGTGTAGTACACGACCTGTGTAATTTACGTACGTACACAACTCACGCACACACACCACACACAAACCCACACTACACAAACACACACCCACGCCACACAAACACCCGGCCAATTAGTCGGCCTCCCCAGCCCTCGACCCCCACCGAGTGTGTATCACCTGTGCGCGATGTGCGTTTGTGTGTGGTGACATGTGTAACGTCCGCGACGACAATCGCTGTGAAACGCGTTTCATACAAATTATGGCAATAATAATAAATATTGTCAATTTATTATTATTATTGGTACGATAAATCGATATATTTTAATATTTATTGATCCCAGCTAGTGTGAAAATCGAAACTGCGATTATAATATATTACATTTTTATAATGTCGTCGCCTACCGATCACTGTTATAATACCTAATAATAAAAATAYGTATTTATGACGTTTCGGTCCAGTTACGTTCAGACGTGTGTACACTTACGCCGTTTCCGACGGAAATGCCTCACTAAACTGAGGCACGGGGACGGGGTATGTCAAGGTCGGGGTCGAACGATAAAAACTTCGAAACACTCTCGCCGGCGACGACGGTGCACGCCCGCGATGTATTACACCCGCCGTCGCTGTCCCAGACACTAATATTATTATTATTATAACGTCGACATTTCTGCCGATAAACAAGGACTTCCGAAATTATTTTTATTTTCTCTATTAAAACTCGATGTTGTCTTGTGTTTTTACGTGAAAATATCGATTAGCATCGCGTCGTCACGTCATAATAACCGGCCACAACGTTTTAATATCTTACATTTTATCATTATCTTTTACACAAGGGTGGGGGGAGGTTTATTTTTTTATATCTCAAACGCGTTGTGTGAAAAATAACAAATTTTAATTACATTTTTATGGCGTTTCTGGTGTGTGTATGTGAGTGTGCACGCGGTTATTTCAATAATTATATAAAAATATTATAAAAAAAAAATCATAAACTATACCGCAACGGTGTGACTGCGGTGCGAGCGAGGAATGACTCACGATAATCGACATACCTGTAATAACAGTCATCATCATAATAATAATATAAAATATTATGAGTAACTTTTWTGTTTGGAATCCCTCTCTCTTTTTCTTTTTCTAATGACGTTTTAAATAATATTTACAACGCGTATTAATACGTTTTCAATCGTCGACATCGTTATTGTACTGCGGTACATCAATTATATTACAAAATATATTTTATACTATGTCTATACCTTGATACGCAATAATGCGAATAATAATTATAATAATAATAATATCCATTGTAAAACGGTTTGTAGATAATACGTACCAGGTAGCAAGTACGACATAGTCCCGCCGCCGAAAAACAGTGTACAGACGAGAATTTGAAAACTCGCGTGTCCCAGGAATAAATAATATTATTATTGTTGTAAAAACAGCAAAAACAATATGCAACAACGTGCAATACGAACGTTGCTAATTTACTGAGCAGAAATTCAGTCACGTGTGTCGTGTGTGTGTATATATATATGTATGTGTGTGTGTATATATATATGTATGTGTGTGTGTGTGTTCACCTATATAAATAACTGGCGGTTCATACCTACACAAAAATCGAAAACACAAAAACTGTTCGGATATAATTTAACAATTATATTATTTTATATCGTCGTACGACTCGTACGTATGACGGCTTATTGCAATCGACTACGAGCGCGCGTCGTGTATCTACAGCTGTATTAATAACGTATTAACTATTAACGTGTAATCCACACCAATATCGGAAAAATAACAATATTCGTGACCGCTAAAATGTACGAATAATAATATAATAATATTGTTATCTCGGTCGATATGTGTCGCTCGCCGATCGCGCTTTATTGCTTTATTATCGTTCGATGATATATGTAGGGAAATTTAATACGCGTCCGATGTATTTTCGTCCCGCCGAAAAAAATATTATATTGTATTTATACAAACTCGAATAATATCGCATTATGTCACAACCACGCTATACATACAGTAATGAAAAATAATAATAATTGTTATTCGCCACAGAGGTAGCCTTTGATTTAGGCAAAGATCAGGGGAGGGTTCTTACACTTTTACAAAACCTTGGCCGCGTCGAAACAATATTTTTAGGTAGGCTTTCTTAAAAACTATTATTATTATTAACTATTTATTTATTTCTAAGACCAAATATGTTTATATAAAATCAATAATAGTAATCGATCTATATTTTACTATAATATCTACTAAATGTACCTACCTATAAAACTAGACATAAACGAGACTAGCCAATCGGAGAAGCTAGTCTACCATCCTATGGTAATAAAACATTAAGCTTTTCACAAAATAAGTGGAAATATCATTTTCAAGAAGTTACTGGTAAAGTGGTAACATTTAAACATAATATTAATTAATATTACATTAATGTCGGGTTGCATGAACAATCACTAAATATATATTATTGAATCAATAGAGAGCTAATAAACCCTTAAACATGACTTAGTGACCCATAATCGATTCATTTAATTGAATTGAATCATTAAAAAACTATGATTTTTTCGTGCCAACCCGCGTTAATATGATTAATATTTATAATTAAATAAACATTTCATTATAATAAAKTAATAATTATCATACAAGACGTCTGTTGTGTTTGAGTGAAAAAATTCTTTTTGATAAATATGTACGGAGGTGTAAGAAGGCACACGCCACATGTCCGTATAATACGCTAAATAATACTGAAGTCCCCTTAAATTTGACATAATCTCCAACAATACCGAGGACATCGACGATAGGAAAACATATATCTCTATCGTACATGCTTTCGGTTTACATTGTGTGAATAATATGTATTGCTAATTATTATAAACGATTCAGTGATCTCAAAAGAAATAATAACAAATCACAATATTTACGATGACGATGATCAGTGCTTTAATAATATTGCGAAACTATTATATAATAAATTACGCGCATAAATCTTAGTGAAGTACGCCTAAAATAAGAACTATATTATAACAATAGACGATTATGGCGTTGCTGAAAAATTCGACTTGTAAGGGGAGTAATAAAATAATATGAAAATTTTATACTTACGTTATTAGCTTCTCCTTCGGCGTGCGAGCACATGAGAATCAGCTGAGCGTACTGTTTTGTTGTCGCTAGAGCAGTCCCGTAGCGGCGTCGGTGGTGGTGTGGTGGTGGTAGTAGTAGTAGTAGTATCAGTAGTGGCGGTGTTGTAGTAACGACACTCGTCGTAGCGGTGGCGGTGATGCCGCGCGCGAACGGTCATCATCGGCGTGACGCCGGCGTGTCGCCGGGTGGCCGCCGCCGGCCGGCTAAAACACGTTTTGGCGAAAACATAGCGWGAAAAATTAATAAAAAAAATTCAAAACGTCCACGGGTGGGTAAATGGACGTGTTTAAAACAAATACGATCACGATTCTAGCGGACGACTTTTAATGTTTTTATCGTTTCTCGAACAGATAAAAAAAAAAAAAAACCAAAATACGGAACCGATAATTTGAAAAAAAAAACCGAAGAAATCTCGACGGGTCTTTCAGCGATGTGTGGCGCGCGTTCGTCGTCCGTGCGAGCCGGAGCGCGCGATATTGTGATGTGTACTCGACGACACGGGGCAGTCGGTGACGGAGGTACGAACGGGGCGAAATATCGCGTGTGTATGCCGACGGTCGTGCGCGCGTGTGTGTATACACTACACGATGCGATGTCGCTCGGCGGCGGTGTTGGTAGTGGGGTGGCGAAGATGGTAGTGGTAGTGGTAGTGGTAGTGATGGTGGTGGTGTGAGAGCGCGCGGTGTGTGCGTGTGCGTGTGTACGTGTACGACGACTACATCGGCGGCGACGACGACGATGACGACGACGACGACGACGACGACGACGACGACGGTGTCGGTGGCGATGGTGGTAGCGGTGGTGGTAGTGGCGGTGGTGGTGCGCGCACCGCCGATCGACAGGGTGCTGCGTGGTGTGCCTCGGGGGGAAACATGAAACGAGTGCCGACAGAGTGACCGAGAAGACTGAAATTTTCGAATGCCGCCGCCGCGTCGGTCCGCGGGCGCGAGCGTGGCGTGGAGCGGCGACCGGCCAGCCGACCGACCGACCGACCGGCGGGTTGCTACGGTCCGGCGGATGGTAGGGGGGTTTATCGTGCCCGAGTGGCGGGCGGCGCTGCGATTGGGGTGCGGGTGGAGGCGGTGACCGTCCGCCCGCCCGATGACCAACACACCGCTCACCTAGGTACGCGTAGTGGTTAGGGACGGCACGACCCTCTGACGGCGGCCGGAGGTACTACCCGCGCCGGCCGAGTCGAATTCCCGTACACTCGGTCGCTCCGTCTCGCTTTCACGCACGCCGTTACGACGCGTAAATACATACATATACATATTTATATATATATATACACACACAATACGTACAATATACGCATAATATATATTAGAACGGAGGGGAGAAATGTGTGAGTGTGTGTGTGCGCGCACGTACGTTGGCCTGTTGGTGTATGTGTGTGTGCATATCTGAGAACCCCACACATACACACACAGACACAGACACACACACACTCATCCACACAGGCGAGTATATAGCGTCCGAAAATGCGAATAGCTTCCGAGAATAATATTCATCCCCCCAGCCCGCCGCCGTCACCAACCATCCCCGTCCATGTACACCCCCGTCATCACACCACCCGCTCAAAGCCCTTATGTATATATATATATATATATATATATATATATAAATGTATAATAATATGTCGTTTCTACGCGAGCTGACCACCGCCGCCGCCGCCTTTGCATCCGCCTCCACGTCCTTCGACGACGACGGCGACCGTGCGTGGTCTCTTGCGCGACAACACCGCAATATACGCGCGCGCATAATATAATGTATTCCGTGTATTAATTCGRTTCAATCAATGGCCAGCCGCCTCAGCAGCACAAGCGTGCGTGTGCACGTATGTGTGTGTGTGTGTGCGTATGTGTCCGTCCRTCCGTCGCTTAATATAATAATATTACGCGGACGGCCACCCTTCTCGACCACCCTCTTCGCGCCGCGCAACCCCTAAAGTCCGAGCGGCGGAGGAGGCGGTTTTTTATTTTTATATTTTTTTTTTTTTTTAAATCTCTGTATCGATCGCGTATATTATAATGTAGTGTGTACGACGGCGGTGGCGGCAGCGACGTATATGCAAAACGGACTCGGACCGACCGGACTACCACCACGACGGCGACGAAGGCKACACCCTCTGTAGAGGCACGGGACGGTCGTGCTTTCGAGGACCCGCAAACAAAATAACAAATAAAATCGTTTCGTCCCGTGTATAACGTGTATTGTAAATTCATAAAACTATYGCTATAATTGTTATTATCTATAAGTATATTATATTTTGGAGCTATCGTCCGCACAGTAAAAGTTTATGCGRTTCGTATTCCGAGAAACTTCTATATAATATATTAATATGCCGTGAATTCACGAGTGCGTTTCAAACGCAATTTTTGTCAATCAGGTTTATATGACATATGTTTATAATTATTTATATGTACACATAACATGTGTAATTGTGTATAATATATAACCGTCTTACTCGAAATCCRKCGTTAGMAAACGATCTTTTCGACTGCATACCTCCACCRTGAAGCCACTCAATCTATACAGGGGTATTCAAACGTATASAATAGTCTTGGAATTCGAGTAACGTCTCAGAGRAAAAAATGCCCTACATCTCGTCAATCTTTTAATGATTGTCGTTATATACTTATACCTAATAATATAATATAAAACTATGTCACGGACGKACGAACACGTGTACGCAGAGTATTATAATATACACTTAGGGCAGATGGAGGCGTATGGTTGCAATAAGAAGTGATATACCCGAGTTACGAGGAATCGCCTCGTGGTGTGTGTGTCTGACGTTTCATAAGCGATGTTTTTTCGTTGAAAAAATTAACGAAAAATACAATTGCACGTCTGCACGTACAGTGCACTATAATATTATGGAGTTTAATCACATGGACGAACGAAATAGAGAAAATAACATTGTTTTATCGTGAACTGTACATTATACATTAATAATATTGTTGTATAGTAGGTCAAAATAATTGTCTACATGTATCCGTTAGTATTATCATAGTTTAAGATAGTTTAGACAATCCAACAACTCAATTTACTCGCATGCGATTATGTATCCAATGTAAAAAGGAATAAACATGTTAAAATGTTATCGCATATTTCGATGCTATATAATAATGATTGATTGGGTTGGAAGGTCGCCACTCGAGATAGTCCTCGGAAACGTCTAAATAGTAAATAAAATTAACAGCCGGGATTCATGCTTTCGGTCAGTATCACGGAATGTTGGTTCATTGGCAGGTGTATACTRGACCTCCGACAGGTAGATTATCCGTAAGTCCCAATTTCCGATAATTTGGCGACAATAATAGCTGCTTCTTGTTTTGTTTTTTTTTTTTCCGGTAAACATTATATTTGACATTTTTTTTACTGTTGTTATTTGTTTCATATAGGTATTAAAATAATATAATAATTTATTATATAATATTATTTATTATTAATAATTATGTTGTATATTGTTTCCTATAAGCCTATACGAGTATAAGCCTATTACTCGTGATTTTAATAATATTATATTGCAATACACTTACTATACCGCGAGGCACAATAAATACATTTATAAACATAATATTGTATAACAGACAATTTATGTAATACAATATTAAAATATTAAATTTTAACATTTAATGTTCACGCAGCGTTTTTTTCCAGCTTTGAGCYTTATTCTTGATAGGAGTGTCACAGTATAAAGTATAAACAATTAATATTTTTGCAGAAATCAARATATATGTATAGCATYTATAAAATATGGTAGACTACCAAAAAGTCCTARGAAAAAAAGTCCGAGTAAAAAGGTCCGTGTTTAAAAAGTCTGAGGTATAAAAAGTCCGAAACATAAAAAGTCCGATAT